TCGTCAAAATGGCCCTTGGTGAGAAACCACCTTTAGTCAGTACTTTCGTCACGTCAATGACTAAAGTCAAAAGTTTCATCATACATCATTATGCAGTACAAATAGCCAATACTCTGTCTCAACCTTAATTTTTTTCTTGGAATAATCATTTTTTATTAAAAATTTACTATTTGGTTTCTTAGTATCATACAATGTAAATACATAATGTAAATAAATATGATATATGCTGAGCTTTTTATAGACATTTTGATAGATATGTTTTAGATAAATATGTTTTAGATAAATATGTTTTAGATAAATATGTTTGCATAGATGTTTCCATTTACAAATATATTTACTCTTGCAACATTGCTTATAAAAATTATAAAATAAATTCTTCAACAATATATAAATTATTATATGTTATTAATTAATATATAATGTATATAATATAAAACATGTTAGAATTTTTTTTGTTATTATATTTTTGTTGTTTAGCTTTTCAAAAAATATCAAGTTGTTTTATTGTTTTATTTTATTGAGAAAATTGCTGGCACAGTACAAGCCCAATTTGTAGAAAATGTTTATTGCCAAAGATATGTATATACCATATTACTGTGAATACTTGCTTATTTTCATCATCCTTTGTTACACCTTCTAAATTAATAAAACCATTGAAGTAATCATTATTAAGAATGGTTGACAAAATTATATATGACGAAATTCATATTTATTGCTAATACTAACACTAAGGGCCTTTTGACGAAATTGATCAGCCAATCAAATTATAAATTTATTACCAATGATATGAAAATTTTGCACAAAAAAAAATCTGTTTCTTTTTCTTTGATGATTCACCACATAAATTGTTTTTTTTAGGAATGATTTTGGGCCTATTTTTAGATTTAGCCTTTGGTTGTTCCAGAATATTATCAAGGTTTTCTCCTTCTGAATTTCTAGGATTTAAATCTCCAAAATCATTTTCTTCAAAAATCGTTTTCTCCACAATCACCTCCAAAATCATTTTCTTCTAAATTATTTCTTTCAAAATTATTTTCTTCAAAATCCTCATAATTTAAGTCATTATCTCCATTTTGTGAATCATAATAAATATTATTTACTTCATCTTCTAAATAAACAAATAATTATAAAGTATAAAATAAATAATTGGATGCATGTTATTAGGATACATAATATTATTACTCATTATATTTAAAACTAATTGTTTGAGATCATAATCCAAACCTTGTGTTAAATCGATTTGATTGGATCCAGATTCGGGAGAAAATTCATCAAAATGATCAGTAACATCTTCCAAAAAAAAAAGCTTGATAAAAATCCATACTTTGTAATGATGGTTCATTTAACTCAGCTAAACATACATTGTCATCATTGTCATCATCTTCACCATTACTGTCATCATCACTTTCTTCATATTTATCATTATCTTCATCTTTTATTTATTTTATCAAAATCTTGATCAATATCTATTTCAAAATCTTAATCATCTTTCTAATTTCTTCTTCTGTTATGTTGTTTCTATAAATATTCTATTTCTTTTTTATTATTAAAAATATAATAATTATGTATTTTTGAAAATTCTTCCAATTTTTCCAAACTTAGGTTATATCTCCCATCCCAAGTTAGAAAAATTCCTCTTGCATGATACACTGTGAGGTACTATAGAAAAAATTTAATAGCCAACTCTTGCAAATGTCCAAATTGATCCCCACAGGCATACCACCATTAGTGTTGGTTTCCAAAACTAGAGAGTTTCGCAACCATGCAAAAGTCAAAAGGTTTCGTCATAAGTTGAAACTAGTTTTGATTTTTGACCATTGACTTTTGATTTAGTTTTGACATATAACTTTTAATTTTAGTTTTGACTTTTGTCTCTTCAAAATAGTTTTGGCAACCAACACTAATAGGTAATGCAGAACATTGTGTTATCAACTTCTGACATACATCAGAATTAGACGCATTATCTTCCATCTGTTCGGGAGTATTGTCAGAATTTATTTCGGAAGAAACGGTGTTCTGTGTCTGCTCTAAAGACTCGGAATCAATATCATTAGTTGAAAATTGTTTGTTATGCAAACTCCTCTCATTAGAAAGGTTTTCGTTAGGTGATGAATTAGGCGAGATATTTTCAGTTGTGCTGGCTCCGCCAATAGAAGACGCGTCTTGCACATTAGTAATGACTTGAGTTTGCTGTTTGAGCTCCTCAAAATCATGTCTTAATTTCGTTACTTCAGCTTTAAGCTCAACATTCTCAGCTTTGCGTCTGGTACTCTCTCCCATAGCATGTTCCAATTCCGCAATTCTAGCTTTAAGCTCATCTTTTTCTTTTGCAGTCTGCTCCAATTCTACAATTCTAGCCATAAGTCTGGCATTCTCTTGTCTTAATAAATCTAATTCGGATTCTATGTTCAATAATATTTTTTTATATAAGGCGTAGATTTATTCAAAATAGAAAAATCACGTGCGTGTGAACAATTGTTCACACCGATCACTTTGACAAGAAAAAAATTCATGACTCCACAAATATCATTTCTTCTGAAATAAGAGGTATGTATTGTTGTTGTATAAAAACGTTTAAGCTTATTTTTTGTTAACATTTCAGGATCTATGAGAAGTGTCAAAGTTTTCGATTTCACCTATCAGATAAAATGCACAAATAATTAGGATTGGTGAAGGTAACAGATCGTCCATAATAGCGGAGCTAGTGCTTGAGGCACATAGATAAATTTTTAGCACTTTGTGCTTGCTCTGCTAATGAAATTACCCATAATAAATTTGCACTTACTAGAAATAGTTTTTCGTCCTCGATCGCCCATAGAGAATAAATTGATTACATTCATGAGAAATATTGCTCCGAAATTACTAATTTATCAATTGTAGTGTTTTGCATCTTTAACAGAGTGATCCGTGGAAAATACTAGTATTATAAAACATGCGTTATTAGAATGAGTGGTTCAACTTACTATTACAAAATAAATATTGGATATAATCTGTACATAGTATTATGGCCATTGCTAACCTTAAAGCCCTTGCATATAATATCTTAAAAGAATTCAAAGATCCTATTGTCAGTGGTAAGGATTTATCAGAGTTGAACTGCAGTCAGGGAATATTCCAAATATGGAATTTCTAAATACTGCAATGATCCACTTTCTAGAATTTCAATAGAATGCAATAACAAATTATGTTACACATGTATTAATATAAATATTATAAATAATTATAAAAATTTATAATATTTATTTGCAAAAAAAAATTCACTTAAAATATATGAATAAAGTATAATTTATATCTTTTTTTTTTTGTATTCAAATTTTTATTGAGTTCTACAAAATGAGTTAATTTAAATTAATATTATTATATAAAAAATATTAACAATGAATTTTTTTACTTCTCTGTTTAAGTTTTCCTTGGTGCCATAAATCTTCTTGAGTCATTTATTCTGCATCAGTTTCATCAATCCCATTATGAAGATCTTGAACTTGTTGAAAAATTTGTAATAATTCATCTTTTTTTTTTGATTTAAGTCCTTTGAATTGTGGTCGATTAGCTTCATTTAAAGATTCAATTAATGCCTGAATTACACATATTAGATCATTGTTTGACATTGAGCTAGTTGCTGATTGTTTTTCCTCTTCTTCAATAGTGACAGGAATGGGGCGAGTATTTGGCAACTTATCTGAGGTTAACTTTTTTTTAATGAAATTCTGACGATAGAAATGAGCTGTTGAACTAAATGTTTTCATTGCATTACTTAATTCAGTATGCCCATCCAAACCTTTAAATGTAAAATTATTATCTGATGGATTCAAGAAATGTGACTTTCTTAATTCAACACGAAAACATTGTGATTCTTTAATAAAATCAGGAAATGATCTAGGACCACTGCTTTCTTGCTCAGAATACTCAATTATGTCAAATATTTTTTTTCTAAGCTAAAAAAAAAAATAATTAATAAGTATTGAGATTATTATAATTTTTCTATCATTGATGAAATTATAATATTAATGCTTACACTCATAATTTTGGTACAATTTCTAGCAGCAATCTCCCAATGTTTTTGAGTTGGTACAGGAGGAATAAGTGCTTTAAGAGACTTGTTTATTTCTTCAAGTATGGCATCTAATCCCTGATGCTGGTTTGACCATCCTGAACGAGATACAACTGAATTTTCCTCAATAAGTTTTTTTATTTCAGGTCAGACACACATTAATTGTTCTTCATCAGCAACTTCAATTGATTGATAAATTGGATGTCTCCGAGCAGACCAAATTGGAGCAAAAATCCTACGGGCAGCTGCTTTAAGTGAAGGATTATTTGTTCGAATACTTTTACGAAAATTAATAATTGCTTGTAAGTACCAAAAAGTCTAAATAATTAATTGGTGTTAATTAATTATTTTTAAGAAAATACACATTTTTTAAAGAGGAATCTAAAATCCTACCTGCTCATATTTCAATTTATATAATTCATCTTTATTATTTTTTGCCCAATTAAGGTATCCATCAACAGAAGGATTAGAAGCAATAGCAACATAAGGATATACCAACTCCATTGATATTGCATGTCGATATATATTGCATACTGAATCCCAAGCTTTGTGGTAGTCAGAACATTTTTTATAATATCCTAATTGTTTCTCATTATGATACCCTTGACATAATGCAAAGCACTTTAAGTCAATATTCCTATAATCAAAGCATACAATAAAGCATGAGAATAAATGCTAATACAACAATTTTAAAAACCATACCAATTTAATTCCACAAAAGATTTTAACATATTCATTTCTTCGTGAAGTGGACCAGGTATCAAAAGAATTCCAGGAAAATCTTTTTTGAATTTTTGAGCATAATTATAAGGAACTCCATCACAAGTTACAGCAATCCATTTTCGCTCTCCTTTGTTGATTCCACTAATTCTTTGAATATGATCTAGCACCATACGAATATTATCAATAGAATTAGGATTAATTGGTAAAGGATCAAGTATTAGCATGCCAGGTAACTCAACACCTTCCTGTGGTGATGATTTTTGAGTAATGCTAATTGGGTTTAAGTTCTTGTCAGAATTTCCTGTTTAACATCATAAAGTTTTATTGTTAAAGGTTTGTTGTCATTTTTTTCAAATGTTGTTTGTGATATTTCATGTTGGATTTCAGCAATTGTTGGTAATTTTGCTTTACAACCAGGACATTTTTTTTTAAAATTTTCTATTGCACTTTTACCACAATTATTACATTTTTTTTGTCTACCTGTTATTCCATTATACTCAGCTACTAACGAATCAATAAGATTTGTGTCCCTCCTTTTCTCTGCACAAGCTTTGTCTAAAATAACAGAAAGATAATCACAAAGTTCTTCATCAAGCAAATTTTGCATTACTGGTGTTAAATCAAAAAATTCTTGAATTTGAATTGAATTTAGTGTTTTATGTAACCAAGGATCTTTGAGAACCTGTGTTTTGTCTGTAGAATCAAAATTAAATGCAACAAAACTTGTTACAGTATTGAAAATTACAGTATTATTACCACGATCTAGATAGTTTTTTTGACCTTTTTGTTCATTATCAAAAGCCATAAATAACAAACCCTCAGGAAGTGGTTCAGGTTTACCAGCTAAATTCTCCTGCCATTTAAGAAATTTGTAAAAACTACCAGAATTTAAAATATGATTATCAATATTGATAATTGTTTTAGATTTGGATAAAAAGTATTTGATGCTGACGTTGCTAAGTTGATAGCAGATACATATTTTGTATGTCTTGCCCCATAAATAATATCAACTGCTACAGCAACTTTAAAAAGCTTCCTGTTAATTTGATTTTCATTTTCATTGTATGTAAGCATTTGTATAAATTTCACAACAACTGGATTTCTTTTGGAAAGCCATTCAGATGTAGAATATGTTAATAGGCTATCTAAACTAAACCTTTCCTGATTATTGATTAAACTAATGATATCATAATATAAATTGCTTCGTTCACGCTTAGCAATTTCAATAATTAATTCTACTCTTGATTGTTGATCATTGAGTGGTGCATTTATTTTTTCATTTAATTTGCTATTTTCATTTAATAATTTTGTATTTTGTATTTCTAAATCTTTTATTCTTTGTTCATTTTCTTTTATGATATTAACATAATATATACATTGTTTTTCAGAATTTGTTAATAGTTTTTTTGTATATGCTAATTCTGCCATAAGGTTAGCATGGTCTTCGTCTTGTACTTGGACTTGATCTTTCAATGTTTCAATAGTCAACTTAAATTTTTTTTGTTCATTTTCTTCCTCTTGTACATCTTCCATAAAAGATGGGAAGTTTGAATTATCTATCTTTTTTAAATGCTCAATAAAATAATCATTAGCAATAAGTTGATTATAATGTTTTTCACATAAAGAATAATTTTTTAAAGAATTAAGTAATAATAATAATTCAGGCACATTATTTTTTTGGATATTTATTTACAAGATCTTAAATGCAAACATGGTAGAGTATTAGCTAATGGTCTACTGTTTGCCATTACTAACTTGTAATTATAGAATCAAACAAAAAAAAATAAATAAATGGGTTTTTAGACCAATAGTTCCCTATATGTAAAAAAAAATCTAGTGTATAAAGTTGTGTGGATCCCAGTGGATTCCTAAAATATATATTCAAAAAAATTTATTTCAATTGTTATAATCAGAATTTTGAAAAAAAATCTTTTTTCATAAGCACAAGTATCATTTGCAACATTTATGAATTGATCGACAAAAATGTTCCAGATTCGATTTCCATATTTGGAAATCTCCCTGATCTGTATTACTTTATATATATTTTCAAGAAGTGATCGTCAAATAAAAAATGTCCGAGGAACTAAAAAATCATTTAGATAGTTTGGGTTGGTAGGTAAGATAGTTAATAAAGTCTAAACGTTTGCTTAATATTATTTATATATAATTTTATTATATATAATATTTATTAAAAAAGGATCTTGAATGATAAAGGTTTAATTGATTTACAAAATATTCTTGAGACAGAACAATTAACACATAATGATATTATTAAAGAACTTTTGAATGTAAATAATAACGATAGTTATTGTTATTATTTTTAAAATAATATATATTTCAAATGAATTATTAACGGTTGGGATTTTTTTACAATAGAAAGATCTTAGAAGAATCGGACGTGGTGCCTTTAAAGATGATTTCTCAAATGCTAAAAACATATCGGGTCCATTAGTATTACAATTACTTTCAATAATCAACCTTTCAACACCTTTACAAGATCAACGTGAAATACCTAGATTATTACAACTGACATTAACTGATGGTATTAAAAAAATTAAAGGTGTTGAAATGTTAGGAAAAGTTGAAAATGTTAGGTAAAAAATATAACACATTTAATCCATTCATTCAAAGAATTCATTTCATTTATTGTTTATTTGAAATTAGTTTAAGTACACCGCCAGGTACTAAATTTATGGTAAAGAATCCTATAAAAATCCAAGAAAATATATTATTTCTTGGTCCAGGATTATTGGAAAATTTGGGTGGCAAGGTGGAGGAAATGATTAGAGAATGGCAAGTTCAAAAGGTATTTTAGTATTAATATGTGTGTTAATTATTACATATTAACATTTTATTATATTATTATTTGATAAATTAACAGTTTCTTAAAGTTGATGGCAATAAAAAAAATGATGGATATGATGGTCCTCCTCCATTTATTCCTTTTAAAATTGAAAAAACAAATCAACAATTACTAACACCTCCAGCTGAAAATATTGTTAAAAATAACAACAATACTACTAATATTAATATAAATAACATAAAAAACGAACCCACTTCCACAATTAAAACTCAACCAACTGACATAACAAATAATTATTCAAATGATAAAAATAATAATGTTTCTTTCGATTTTCAAAATAAACAATCTAATAATTATCAAAGAGGAAGAGGTAGAAGAGGTGGGGCTGTTGGTGGACATCGTATCAATGGTAATAATAATAGAAATGGTGCAAGAGAAGGTCAGAGTAATAATAGTGAAAGAACGGGAAATTATTATAATGATCAACCAAATAATAACTATTACCTACAAGGTGGAAGGGGTGGTAGAGGTGGTAGAGGTGGTAGAGATGACCATTATGCAAATAGTAATTAAAGATTTTGATAAATATAAATATAATAAATAATCTTAGATTTACATGAAGAAAACGCTTGGTTTTCAATTATCATTATCATCAAAATTATTTTAATTTAGAATCAATTTAATTGAAATACAAACGCTTAATGAAATTTTCCACGTTTACTATTATTAGAATTTTCTTCGAAACTTATGCTCATGGAATCGGTTTTAAAAGTTCTTTTATTATTATTATTATTATTATTAGTAGCAGCGGCAGATTGTTCTAAAAATCCTTTAAGAATTTTATCAACACAAGATTTATCGAAATAGCCTCGTTGTTTCCATCTTTCAATAGGACTATTCGATTCGTCATCTTCCATAATGTCATCAATATCCATGCTTTCCTCATTTAGATCTTCATCTTCGCTTTCAAAATACATAGTAGCACTAAATAACTGTTTTTCTGTATGCACTTTTCCCCAAAATTTCACACAATCAACAGCAATTCTAAAGTTTTTATTTGATACATCTTCACGATCAAAAATTTCACCACGATGATCAAAATTTTTTGCCTCTGATGATTCATTATCTGGATTTGATAAAGACTTTGCGAATTTTATCGCATCACTTTCATCATCGTATATTTTCAAGAATTCAAATTCGAAATCTTTTTCTACATCAGAATATTTGTAAACAATCAAAATTTTATCTGCGTTCCTTAATCGTAACGGATGATCAAGTAATGTATTTACAGTTTCAATGGCTACGCGCCAATCTCGGTCATATCCAACTTGTAATTTATCATATAATTGTCCTTCATGATTAATATGTTTAGGTGGTCTGCTCGGGTGAATTGAGACAATATCGTCATCGTCATATTGTCTAGTATATTCCTCTGCTTCTAAAACTAAAGTATCGAAATCGTGTGAAGCACCAAGAAACAACAAAGTAAAATCATCTGATTCATCAAGATACGAGTATAATACATAATATGGTCTATACTTCAATTTTTCAAATACTTGACGTTTCCATATAATAGCTTGAGATGAATTTGGTGAAATCATTGCCTGTACCATTACTATAGGTTTCATTATCATATTAACATGTTCTGATGATATACGTTGATATATTTCTTGCCATAACTTTACCGATTCTGAAACAAATTTTGACACTGGCTTATAGGTTAAACTTACAGAGATCAAATCTTCCACATCCAAATAACCAAATATATCTTCAGCTATTTCAACACCAACAGGTAAAAATGTATTTTTTTCTAATTTGCAGCTTAACAAACAATTATTTATTTTTTCTCTCGATGTTATCATCGTCGAATTGTTAGAATTTTCTGTAAAATCCATAAATCACGTATTATAATAATAATCGTCAGCAATTATCAAAAAAAAAAATTTTAAAAAAAAAAATATAATTAAAAAGGAAGAAAAAACCGCTTTAAGAATTTATAGAAATTTTTTTTACTTATTGTTTGTTTCATGTTTCTCTTTGGCATAATGCAAACATTGTCATTTTTAAACAAAGACTTCGTTTGTATCTTCTTATCATCATAATTATTGGATAATAGCATAGTCAAAGTTTCAGCTATAAAATTAAATTGGTTGAGATTGGCCAAAAAATTTTACAAATTTTATTTCAAATTCATTCTGACCTTTTTTAAGGGTTCCAATTTGATTTGTGTCGATATTTTCCAACAACTCTCTATCATCTTGATTTATTCTCTTCCACAAATTATTATTAATACGGATCAATCTTCCTAATTTATTATTGCTATTACTATTATTATGGATTTTTGAATTTATCCACGAAATTTTTTTAATTGCTCGTTCTTTCTGTTGATCTTGTGACAATCTCTTCCAGCCATCGTTTGTACGAACAAGCCTTTTCGACTTTTTATTATTATTATTATTATTATTATTATTATCAAAATTATTTTTATTCATTTTTTATTCATTTTTACATGAAAACTAGTCTTTTTATATAAAATTTCTGCATCAATATTGTTTAGTTTTTGTATTGTTATAATTTTTTCACATGATTAAATATTATTAATATTTTAAATAATTTATCTATAAATTTTTTAAAATCAAAAAATTTCATTAAAAAATATTAATACAATAATAATAAATGTCTTTAATAAATAACGATAACTTTATACCAGGTTTTTGAAATCATGTTTTAAATCTTTAAAAGTTTAAATATCACAGAAAATATCATTCTAATAGAAGACATAACAACTTACTTGAAAATCTATTGGTACTGTAGAAGATTCCTCTAATGATGATACCCAAAATGAAAGAACTCCATTGGTACATCAACAAGCTAATTTTCAAGAATCAGAAGATACTCAAGATTATCGAACCTTGATTGAATTGGGAAAATCAACAGCCAAGCAAACTATATTCAATACAGTGGTAATAAAGATATATATTGTAATGAATGTATTATTATTCGTACGTTCATATATATTTTCAATAGAACATCTTAATGGGTATTGCTATTTTAGCATTACCACTTGCCTTCAAATATTCCGGATGGGCATTGGGATTGATGATTTTTTTATTTTGTTTAATTCAAACTAAATACACGGCAAAAACGCTAAAAAATGTTTAGATAATGATCCTAGATGTATTACATATAGTGATCTTGCAAATTTGGCCTATGGAATAAGGGGAAAATATTTTATAGGTGCCATTTTTTTATTCGACCTATTTAACGCGTCGTAAGTTATTTTGAATCATTTGCTCATTCGTTTGTTCGCTCGTTTATTTAAAATTTTTTATTTGATTCAGAGTTGCATTGTTGATTTTAGTTGGAGACTCTTTGAAAATACTATTTCCCAGTGCAGATTTAACAACTTTGAAAATCATAGCTACACTTTTTATCATACCATTCACATGGATACCAATTCATTTTTTATCTTATACCTCGATGTTTGGAATATTTACAACCGCTTCATTGGCATCTGTTATTATATTGGACGGTTTAACTAAACCTACTTCGCCTGGAAGCCTTCTTAATCCAATGAAAACACAT